TGATCAGTACACATTTTAAGGGTAGAAGGTATCGTTCCACTAAGAAGCATAAAAGAGTAAAGAAAACAATTAAAAGTCTTCTTTGCAAATGCTCTCCAGTGACTACAGAGTGTTCAATTCTGCCTTCTGGACTGAAATAAAATGTGAACACTTTTGGAGTCACCTCATACCATGAATGATTTAGCAGTAGGCCATAATGATATTGGTTTTTTCTCCCTCAGAAATGTGTGCCTCTGGGACACCTTGGTTTCATCTGGAAACAATCTTATACATGGTAAGTACTGTGGTGAAAATTAAACCTCTGCTTCTTTCTGACTAAGGAAACACTGCTTGCATGTGCATTTGGTGCAAGGGGAAAGCCTTACACTGGGGAACACGTTCAAGTTTCTGCTGCACACTAATACATGCACCAGACTGGTTCTCCGTGCTCTCTAGCATGATGTTAATCTGTTCTATATGGAAAAGTATGAAGAAAGAACATCACAGAATGGTTTGGGTTGGAAGGGTCCTTAAAAATCATCTCTTCCCATTCACCTTGCCTGGGCAAGGACACTTCACTAAACCAGATTTCTCAAGATCAGCTATACTTCTTTTAAATCAGGAATTTACCTGAACTTCATATGGTGAATTTTATATTTTCTCAAATTTTAAACTTTCATTCAGGTCATTCAGGTATAACCTTGTATTCTAAAGTAACTTAGACTGAATATCATGCTTTCTTGTGCATTAGATCTAAGTATCTCTTATGAGAGCAATAAGTTGTCAGCTGATAAGACATTACCTATATGAAGGAATGTGTCTGCAAAGTTAGAAAATATTCAGGTAGCAATTTATAGAAAAAATGCATTTTAAGATTGAGAACTACTTACAGTTTAAAATCTATTAAATCCTGGCATCCTTCTTCTTCAGCCTTCACTTGTCATGACCATGGTGCCACAGTACTTCAGTATGCACCCAAGCATCAACTGCTCATTTCTGGAGGTAGGAAGGGATATATCTACATCTTTGACATCAGACAGAGGCAAATCCTTTTCACCTTCCAAGCACACGAGTCAGCTGTTAAGGCCCTTGCACTGGATCCTTCCGAGGACTATTTTGTTACGGGCTCGGCCGAAGGCAACATGAAGGTAAGGACAGATGGAGGAGCTGGGTTCTGGAGGAGGGTGTTTGGCTGAAGTAGTGTACTGTCGTATGTAAATAGCCAGATAAATGCAGTAACAAAACAAAAACAAACCCCAGAACCCCAAACCTACGCTTGATGTACAGTCTGCTTGCTTTACATTTATAACGTAAACTGAAATATACTGGTAGACTTCTAAAGCAAGTAGGTTTTGTCCTCCACTAAAAAATAGTCTTTTTAAGGTTGTGAGGCTGATTTTAAGTGGATAAAACAAAGTGCATGGTTCTGAAATCTTACCTTTGTTTTTTCTCTCACTAAAAATAGTTCTGGCTCTACCGTTGGACATTTCATTGTAACACAGAGGGTGCTCAGCAACTTCAACATTGTGTAAAGTTTCTGTATCACCAGGTTCTATTTTTTTCTCCTGATGCTGTAGCCCCAGACAGTTACTGAGAGGTCAGAGTAGCAAGAAACAAACACCAACATGAAAACAAACAAATGAAACAAAACAAAACAAAACAAACCCCAGAAATACAGTCCCAGTTTTAAGGGGCATTTTACCTGAATACTAAAGGAAGGAAATATGACATGGTAAAGAGAAGGTGAATACAGTTTCTTTTCTTTTAGCTGGAGGACTGCTTAACGGGGGCTTTCATGGCCTGGCCTTGATGAGGCTCCTGCTGCTTAGGACATAACAGGCAGCCATGCTTCCTACCTCTCTGCATGCTTATTAATTGTGCAGCTTAGTCTCTGCAGCATTCCTTAGCAGGAAAGCATTTCCAGCTGCTAGAAAGCTGACAGTAGTCATCTTGGATGAAAATGCTATCCATTTCTGCAGCTTTCACAGGGGGAAGCTGGGAGGAGGACTCTGATCAGGTAACACAAGCTAGCTTCACCCTGCCCAATACACAGCTGGTCCACAGTACGGCAGTCTTACACTGCATCAGGAGCCTCTCAAGACTCTTGGACCTGTAGTAATTGTTGCAATGAGGCAACAAAAAAATCCTTTATTTTTGCTGAAGAGAGTTTAGAACAGCCAGGAATCTGAAACATCAGGGGGGAAAATACAAATCCTTTAATATTCATCTCCTTTTGTCACTCTTTTGATACAGGTGTGGAGACTGACTGGCTACAATTTAATTCATTCATTTAAAAACGAACATGCTAAGCAATCCCTTTTCAGAAATATTGGTGCTGGTGTCACCCAGATTGAGACTGTGCAAGGCAATCGTATCTTCTCCTGTGGAGCAGATGGCACGCTGAAAATGAGGGTTCTTCCCAATGCTTTCAATGTACCTTCAGGCATTTTTGACATTCTGTAGCATTCTGTGAGCTAATCATGGTTTCTATAATGTCCCTATAAGTAGCTAAAAAGACAGTGATATGCGCTGTGGAAAGTGCATATCACTTTCCCGTCAGTTACTGCAGCATTAAGTAGTATGGGGAGAAAACCAACACTTTTGCAGCAGGTATATTTTGAATATGCCCATAAGGATCACTGGGATGGAAATGCATATACTGGATTGCAAAAGCAAGGAATTCAACCCAGTATTGTTGGTCGTGGGGGGGTTATTGCTCAGTAACCCACAAGCTGCATTTTGTGTTGTAAAGATCCTGACAGTTGTCAGTCACTTCACAAGCACTGTGGCTCTACAAGTCAGTAAGCATTTCTGATGTGATTCTGATTACTTTTATTCCAGTTTTTCCCACTAAATGAAGCATGTATACAATTTCTCATTGTAAAATAGTTTAGTTTTAATTAAGGGTACTCGGTGTATTTGATTTCCGCAGAAAGTGTAATGGATGCAAATGCCGTGGAACATGTGCAATCAAGGACGTACTGTGAGAGATGTATCATTTTATGCTGAGATTTTTTTTCCCAGTTAGTATTATTGCACAGTTGATACTGTAACTTGCACATCGACATATTTTTAAATGCAATGGGGTTTAATTTGCACAGTATTTTCCTTTCTTTCTGAGCTATGTTTTCTATTGAACACCTGCCTTTACTTTAGGAATGTATTGTAAGCACTAAATGTTTGTAGTGAAGACATCCAGCATTCTAGTCAGCTTTTAGTTTCAAAAATCATTTGTCCAGAAAATACTTCATTAAATGAAGCTGTTAAGAGAATACAATGGAACATATAATGCCACATTTCAGATGAATGTCAGGCTTTATGTGGCCGGCTAGTAAATAGTGGATAAAACTGGTAATTAAATTATTACCAGAGTATATTGTATAAACTATGCAGAGTTCAATATTGTTTGCTTGTAATATAACTAGCTACTGTTGTCAGATGTATTTTTCTGTTGTAAACAAAAAACAAGTTCTTCAAGGACTGGAATGGATGTCTGTGTATTTAAATGTTAACAAACTGTCTTATTCCTCCAATGAAATTTTGAAGTCTGTGTTGTATTGTAAGATATACTAGAATAAAAAGCACCTTTCTCCAAAGGTGATTTTAAATTGCAGCCTGTGAAGTAGGAGAAGTATGAAAAGAAGGAAGGGTAAATGTCACTGTTTAGTTTTCCCTTTGTAAGTTAAATAAATTACTTTTATTTCATGGAACAGCCCATTCTAGAACTCTTCCTTATATTTAAACAGATTTATCTAAATCTCCAGTACATTGACTGAATACTTCCTGAGTTAGCTTTAACTTGACCTCAGACTGTACTGAAAAAAGATTAGCTGTTTACATTTTATTTTCAGCTGTTCTTGAGAAGTACAAGGTTAACAGAATTAAGTTCCACAGCTGCAAGAAGAAAAGAGGTAGAATTTCCTGGCCTTCCCTCTCGAAGAGGTTGATTCAAGTGTTTCAACAATGTTGTGCAGAAGTTTACCGTGCTCTGAGATGGGTACATTATCTAGAAAATATCACATCTGACTTGAACTGTGTTTGCCTGAGTATATTGCTGACTTTGTGGGTATTTTAGCTGAAAATGTTTGCTTTATTAGTACTACAATTCAGTTTTTGAAACAACATCACAATCAAACAAATATGAAAAAAACTACCAACCAAAACCCCCACACCCCCACAAAAAAGTCACAAGCATCGCACCAAACTGTAGCTCTGGAGTGTCAAGTGTCACACTCTATACAGGTATAGATAGAACTGTTAGTCTGTGAGTTTTGATGTATATACTAGTTCAAAGTATTAATTATGATTTTTTTATTCCCTTCTGCATCTCTCTCTCTTAGCATGCTTAGTGATAACAGCAAGTATCCTGGGAAGAGCCCTGCCATCCCTGTGTCACACACTGGAGCTTAGCTGCAGCAGAGGAATTCTTCCAGCACATTTGCTAGACAAGGTTCTGCAGGCACAGACTTTCCCAAATTCATTAATCCCTTTGACAGGGCTGGGATCACACAGGTATTAAACAGCTCAGTGCAGTTCAGGATTTAAATAACACTCTGCCTCTAAATATTTGGGTGCACTCCATGAACTTTAGCAATAGGGACAGGCAGCTTAGAAATTCAGGTAGAGGTTTTCCAAGAGCATGATTTTGAATCTATATACATAAAAGAACAGTAGAGATTTTTGTTCCAATGTTAAATTTAGAAATCTGAAATAACAGAACAAAATTAAAATCAAAAAGTTCCTATTATTTCTCACCTCTAACTCTCAAAAATTTGAATGTGAATTGAGCGTCTCTGACTTATGGTTAACAACAGATTAAATCACTAAGCAGTATGATGATTCTAAAAACAGCAGCAAAAAAAGTGTATCCTTCATTTTATAATTTCATTTGTCTGGATGAATGTGGAGACATTTTATTTTAGAAATATGCCTTTCTGTAATTAAATAGTTACAAGCAAGTTATACTGGTATAGTTTGCATGGCAGTGAAAGCCAAAGAAGGGTCTGCAGCAACACAAGAAATCAAATACTGTTAAAAATGAAATTTTAATCATAAAGGTTTTGTCTTTAATTTTAAACCTTGCTACTTTTCATCCAACTCTCCATTTAAGAAATAATTCATGTTTGTTCAGTATTTAATGTCATTATTCCCATTTTCCTTGTACTTTAGCTGGATTTTGCTTTTGATTATTAACACTTGATTTGACTTGACAAATTTAAACTTTTTGCTTTTTTTTTCCTATTTAAACAAGCATTTCCATTCCCATTATTTTTAACAGCTTTAAATCTTTGTCCAGAAAAGATGGTCACAGAGAATCCATGGAAATTAAATGAAAGTGACAAAGATATTTGTACACGAAAGTTCATTATTTAGATGTTTAAATTAGAACATCATCACTGACTAGGAAATTATTGTAGAGAAGAGGAATGTAAATAAAAGTTACAAATAGTCTCTGCTGAGCACATGACCATGGAATAATCAATGTACATTAGACACAATTATCAGCTGAATAACAGGGGGAAAACAAAAGTATGTCTATGCTGTGTGCCAGCTATAATAGCAAACAACATTTTTTTAAAAAGATGAGGATGGCCTATGTAATCGAAGTGTGTTTTTACAAAGGCACGTGATCTCCCTTTTATACACACTCACAAACCATCATGAGGAAGCAGAAAACGATACCAAGTGAAGAGACCCCCATGTATATATCACAGAGCTTTAAATAGATCCTTTAGTTAAAGGTGGCATGTGAAAATATAATCATCTGCCAAAATGGACTGGGTATACCATTAAACTCCCATTCTCCCACGTGTACAAATTCTTGTCTCGCAGGCTGTACGAAAGCATAGCAAGAACAGACTGTGAAGACCGTAACTCAAACCTTGCATCAATCTGCTTCTCTTTCAGTAAATCAAAAGCAAAACTTACTACCATGTCCTTAGTGTCAGTAACATAGAGAATGCCACACGCTATGAACGCGTTACCAGCCTTGGACTTAGGATAGGTGGTATTGATGTGCCGAAGGACTATGAATGTTTCTTCGTCAACGTGTGCTACCATTATATTTTCATCAGTGCTTGAGGCATATATAATCCAAAGACCCTTCTCATCCACTGCTATGTTGAAATACGTCTTGGAGTTAGAGAAGAGGTAGTTCCGGCCGTGGTGTAAGGCATTTTTGATGGGCAGGGTGCCCAGTGAGGCTTTATCGAGCCCAAATCTGAAATGAGATACAGCAAGGATTCATTACAGGGGATCAGAGCTCACCTCCACACACACAGGGTGGTGAATCACTGATAGAGGTGTTGTTGAAAATACTTGTTCAAGGACCTTTCTGATGTCTTTTAAGATTAAGTTCTCAAAGAACCTTCCAAAACCCCAGGAGAAAATTAGAAAGTAATAACCAATCTGAAAGGTGCACAAGAGCATGGAATTGTTTTGGTAAGTTTCACTTTATTTAGTCTATGAGTTGTATTATCACTAGGATGAAAGAAGCAACTAAAAGGAATGGGTATGAAAAAGAACTGGATACCAGGGGAAGGCCCAAAATTGGGAAATGGAATCTATACAAAAATTTGCTTTGGAGTAGGTGGGAGCTAAAGAGAGAAAATGTGATTGAGCAAAGCTGCAGGAATTCTGGGCAGCTTCACCTAGACTTAGAACTCCTCTGATGAAAACAGGTCAGATAATGTGGTGATTTACTCAAGTAGACATCAAAGGAATAAAAATTCTACTTTTGCAGAGCCAAAATTGTGACCTTACGCTGGCCTCAATGGGACAGCCTGAATACTTCTATGCCTAATGTATAAAATTGTTTTTATTCCTTGAAATTCCTTAATAGGTTGATAATCTGAAGGCAGGAGCAGTGAGCAGCTAAATCATGTTCCTCTACTGGTTTAGGAGGGTAATCAGCTCCTCCCAAGACACATCTGCTGTCAGTATTTAATTACCCAATACCACTGGGCTTCAGCAAAAGCAGGGAGAGCGTGGCTTTATCTTTTTAAATAATGCCCTCTGCAAAGAAGCACATTTCAGTGTCTGACTTTTCTCTCACTGTATAGCTCCATGCTTCAAATAGAGGAAGAAAAAATGCTACTTAATAAAGAAATCTGCTATACTTGCAAGTATATTTTCTGAAAAGACAGGCTTAATGACAGGAACAGTTCAGATCCAGGAATACACAATGCTGGAAGAATAATTCTTATGTTTAAGCAGCATTGATAGCATATATTGGAAAAATCATCCTAAGAAAAGTCAGGAATAACCAACTTAGATAATTTCCCTCAGCTTTTGTAGAACTCACATCTGCAGCAACTCCATATTCCAGCAGCACATACGTGCAATAAAACAAAACAGTTAAAGGCTGTAGGAGATTTGAGAAATACATGTGTCAACCCTGTTAATCTTGTTAATTGTTTCACATGTGTAAATAACCTCATGTAAGGGCTAGAAGGACAGCCCTTAACAGGACAAGTCACTCAGAAATGTAGATTTTTTTTTTCAGGATTCTTTTCTATAAAAAGCCAACAAGATAGAAAGCATCTCAAAATTCATTAGAAATACACAAGTTCTGCAGCACACCCCACCCTATCTTTTCCTGTTATGTGTGAAAATCCTGAAGGGAGAAAAAAAGTGAGGTTTCATTCCCAGGTTCTCTTGGTCTCCCCCAGTCAGGGACAATCCAGTCTGGAATTCCAAATGGTTCTGAAATTCTTTAATCTTCTGACATCTTGGGGTAAATGATAAGATATAGTGTAATAGTTTCATCAAACACCAGAACTCAAGCTATACAAACACATTTCTGATCACTAATATCAACAAAGTCAATGAAAAAATAACAAAGATAGTAAAGCATGTTATGAAACAAAGTAAAAAGAATGAAACTATCATGATGTTGGGGGTCTGACCATCATGAGAAAATCTGCCAAGGGTCAGACAAACCTCGTTTTACCAGCTTTTAAATATGATGATAAATTCCTTTTGAATGTTTTTTTCAACATTTGCAAAATGGAATAACCAGATCCTCACCTATGCTTTCCATTAAAATACAACATTTCCATTAATACAACTCCCAGAAGTTTTTATGGAGCCCAAATTCAAGGACTTCACTGTCACAAAATTCATAGTGCCTCATTCTGTCTGTGCTGAAGATAAGTAATCTCAGAGTGAAGAATGGAACAGAAAGGCCATTTCTCAGCAGCTCCTTGAGAGGATTTGAAAATTCCACAGATAGTTTGTGTTCATCTGTATGTGAAAGCATTTCCCAATTAATGGTATGCAAGCAAAGGGGAGGAATCTCTGCCCTATCACAGTGTATTGCTTAGACAATGATGGTCTTTCACAGACCACCAGAGAAATAGCTGAAAGATGTTTAAAGGAGGCTGCAAAAAAGGGAGCTCATGCTTGGCAGAATAAATATTATAGAATCCTTGCAGCTTGCTCACATTCCTTGGCATCCACATGAATATAGGAAGGCAGCACTCACACCTGCTTGGGAATAGACATCAAAGTATAGTAAATGTTCTTGGCTCAGACATCAGAGTCGTGTAAGAACATGAAAGCACAAGCAATCTTTCACTTGCCCTTGGACTGTCTTTGGCTCTTCTCACAAGGTGAGATTTTGGGGTTGATTTGTATTGTTTGTCTCTGTCCTCAGTAGAAACTGAAACAAGAGATGTAATTCCCAGTTCCAGTTCAGGGGAATGTATCAGGAAAGTAGTAGAAACTTCTTACTATGAGGAAATCAAACTCTGGAGCCACTCCTCCCCAGTGGAGTGTGCAGTTCTCCAGGTCGCCCTGTCCTCAGCAGGTGCCTCGGTGCATGCCCCTGTGCATTCCCTGCTGCCGCCAGCCAGAGCAGAGCACAGCAAGGGCTCTGCAAAGCCAAGTTTCAGGAGTGGGCCGTGGTCACAAAACCACCCACCTACACCTCCTACACTGCCGCTGAACCACTTCTGGCTCAGATGCAGGTAGATGCACAGCTTATTCTTCTAAATCTAATCCTTTCTTCTGGTACCCAAATTCCTTAGTCCTCATTTCTTGCTGTGATTATGAACACAGCAAAGAATCCAAGCTGAAGAACACCTGCAGCAATGTAATGTTGGATAGAACCTGTTGGATCCCAGGATAGCCAAGAGGAGAATCTGTTGTCCTCTCTGCACATGGCATCTTGTTCACCCTGGAGACCTATTGCTCTATTGGCTGGTCACTGCAGAGGTGAACCTGAGACACAGGGCTGGCTGCACAATGCCTAAAGAGTTGTCACAGCAGAGTAGTGGTCCTGAGCTACTCTCCCAGTTTTCCTCTTCCCACAACATCTGCACACACAAAGTGGAAAGCTGTTGGCCCATATTCTATTTACAGATTGGAAAGAATGAGTTGTTCTGCTCTGGAAAGAGCTCTGAAACATTCCTCCATTCTTCCTATTTAGGTAGGACCAAAATAAACACAAAATGCTACAAGGAAAATTGTCTGCTTTTTGGAGGTTCAGCTCTGGCACTCTAACCTATCACACCTCCTTTCACAACTTCACTTGTCTTAGACCAACTATCTTTGACTTACTTCAGAATGACATTGGTTCCTCCCTTCTGATAGTAGAGATGATTGTTTTGTACTGCGTGACCACATCCATAGAAGAATCCTGTGATGTTAATGATCCTGTAGCTGTCATTCAGCAAGGCATTGGAATTTTCATATTCTTTTATATAGTTTCCTAAACAAAGGGGATAACATGCTGAAAAAAAGGACTATCATCTGACAAACAATTGTATGTGTGTTTTCAAAAGATTCAACTTGCTGGAATGTGAAAAAAAAAATCCAGAGACACACAAAAAATATCTGTAGAAAAGATGATCAAGAGCCTGCTTCCCACAGACACAATGGGCCCTCATTCTGAACACAGTTGATGTGTATGCAGAAATATTTCCTTTTCCCACTTAGGTCCTGGACATTTTCGTGCTCTAAATGTAGCTCATACAGCTTTTGTCTCATTTGCATGCCTAGCTAAATGAAAAGGCAAAACTCTGAGCTGTAATTTAGGGAAGTAAAGCCACAGGAAATGGAAACTGGAAAGGAAAGGATAAAAAGCCACAAACAATAGACATTTAAACTTGGATTTGGTAAAAAACCAAACATCAAGCTATTTTCAAAATCTTCTGTTGACTCTGAAAATGTCTAAAGATACTACAAATGCCTACAATCATATGTATAGTCAAGTGTTACACAGGTAATATGGAAAATGTTCTGAAAAAGATCGGTAAAAGCTCATCATTCTTAGGAGTTTAGGCTGAAGGGATTAAGGAAGCAGTGTCAGGATCACCACAGACTTTTGGTCAGTGACTACTACTAAAAATACCTGAAAAATGCATGGTGAGCCAAATCCTTTCATCACTTATGTTTGCAGGTTCCCTCATCCAAGTTCCAAATGTTTGCTGTACATTGACAAAGTGAACAGGACTTCCTACAGATGTTATGACACATTCTAGTGGAAAAAAAGCACATGTCCATGATCTGTGACACTAAGAGAGAAAGGAGCACTTGAGTCACACTTCGTAGCAGGTTACCAGCTTTTTTTGAAGGACCTGGGATTCTGTCTTCAGTCTTTCCAGCGAGGGTATCATCATTTGGTACAGCACCTGTCTCACCTAGGGTGGAGGGAGAAAGAGAAGAATGGCACGTTTTACCCTCTTTGACATGAGAGATTGGCACATCAGTGACTCCACTAAAATAAAGGAATGACTGCTGGGATTTTGCTTCATCTGGAAAAACAAATGTTTAGGTTGGTGTGGTCAAAAAAAGAGATAAGAAAATACTTGCTCTCACTTCTGCTAAGGAAATGAAGTGTTCAGGCTGACAGTCAACTTTGAGGAGTAACTAATTAAATCAAAGGATTTAGTTCCTGAGCTGTGAATTTCTGAGTAGCCACTTAGAAAGAGAGTGTTGCCTTTTTTATGAGCTGAGGTAGCTGGAAATGGCTGATTTAATAGTAAGACCAAAAGCATTTTCTTGGGAAGGAGTAGTTGTTAAAGTCAAAACCTTCATGCACAAATCCCCAGAGAGCAGCAGAGAGGGTGCATCCTGCAGGTAACACAGAATGTTCTGCTCATGTTGTTAATGCCCGAGACAGCAATAAAGCACTAACACATGCACTGAGTACATAATGCATGAGGTTGACATCCACGCACTAAAGAAGCAGGATGAAATACTAAGGGTAATGACACTTTATATTATACACATAGAGATGGTTCACATTTGAATCAAACAGCTGGAAATATTTTTCCCCACCCCACAACAATATAAGGAGTAACTGGCTGGATTTTCTCTTGTCATTCACTGTTAAAACAATGCCTGAATTAAATTATTTATGGACCCTTTTCTATAAAGCCAAGTATCTGTTCTGCCCTTAAAACAATGTGACGCATTTCAGTTTGCTTAGAATGAATAACCGTGGAGGAAAGTTCTCAGCTTTTTGCTGGTTTCATTGTAGCCTTGTTTTCTAATTCCATTCTAAACTTTTATCTCCAGCATTTCACACTGCTTGACACACTGCAAATTTTTAAGACTTTCATTTTCATTGTTGCCCTCTAATATATTTCTAATATATAAGTCTGTGATGAAGTTTAAGTAACAAAGATAGTTAAAAATGGGAAAAAAATATAAAGCAATGCTGAAGGGGTACCATGACATTCAGGAAAGAAAGAACAGATAATACTGCATCGTTGTTTTCTCCTTTAGGTCATATCCTCCTTTTGTTCATGCAGAAGAAAACTACTCCAAGATGGAGCAAGAACAACATGTATTTCTCCCATCCATTATCTAGGGCATTTGGTGAGATGACATTGAAAGTTTGCACAGTGTATCTCCAAGTAAGGCACAAACAGTCCACCCAGCCATGGTAAGCTGAATGCCTACAGCTAGAGTTTACCAATCCCTCGAGATTCCCTTCCAGCTTCTGATCCTAAAATATTTCCAGAATATTTCATAAAACAAAATCACTCAACAGAAAATATAAATTGCAATGTACAAGTTGATTTTTCTAAGGCTGAGTAGAATAGATGCAGTTGGCTGAAGGAGCAGGTGCCTGTACAGCAGTTTATCTAAAACTATAGGATAGCCAAGGGCCAGGTCAGTGTTTGTAGCAGAGCTGAGGGCACTATTTGCCTTTGAGAATAATTGCAATACTTCCAGCTGCATAGATTAGAAAGCAACTAAAATTAAAGAGACAGTTTTCAATCAGATATTCTTATGGGAATCTTTCACTATTTTCTTTCCATCAAAAACCAAGATTAATATCCTGCTGATTCCTATCATAAAATATTCTGGTTGAGAGTTAATGGAGTTTAAAAGTCATTAAAACTATTCATTTGGTCTGTTGGGGAAGGATGGAGCAGAGATACTTTGTTTCTTTCAGAATCCACTAACAGTACCAGAAAGAAAAAATATACCTGCACTTCCAACTAATTATTCTCATCTCTTGAAGAAATTAAGTTTTACCAGATTCAAAAATTTAATTTGAAAAAGCCAAGCTTTGTATTCTTATGTAATAAGTTAATTACAGTTGTAATTCAGCATATGTATTGTTTCCTTGAAAGAGAGATGAATATTTAATTACAAAATCTGGATTATTCACTGAATAATTTTGGTAATAAGATCTCATGGTTTGCTGAGTCATAAAACATAAAAGCTCATTGAGGAAGATGTCATCTTTGCAGACTTATTTGAGTGTAACTCCCATTTTCACACTGCGATTCAGAATCCATCAGAGAGCTTATCCTCAAAGCATTTCAGTTTGTTTCAACACTTGAAAAGAGGCCACCTGAGCAAATGGCCCAATTATCTCATACAACAGCTCATGCATTTCTGAATTTCAAATAGGATGAAATTTCTGCTCCAGCTCTCTCCTGTCCATTGTAAGGAGGCTCTCTGGGCTCAGTTCTGACACGTCAATGTCTGGAATCAGGGGTTTACATTTACATCTAAAATTAAAAATTCATTATTGAAAAGCCAAAAATTTCAACTGCATTTCTCTTACTTTCCAAATGTATCCCATCTAATAAAAAACACCATTTGTAAATTCTTTGCCTGAGCATTAGCAAGGCACAATTAAAAGACTAACATGAAGGTAACCTGCTGCGTTATTCAAATCATATTTCAGCAAAGCACCTGAGCACATATTCAGCTTTAAGCTTCTGCAGTTTTAGTGATGCCAGAAAAACTAAACTCATGCTTTCTGTTCTGTGAGCCTTGAAGCAATGGTTTAACCTTGAACATGTTCATAATCTGGAAAGGAACACTGGAAAGCACTAACCTGTGTTTTTGCTGCTGTAGATATTCTCCTGAAGCTCCACTTTGGCTTTACCTTTACGTTTACCTGGAGGCCCTGGGGGTCCAGGAGGTCCAGGGGGCCCAGGTGGTCCAGGCTCACCTTTTGCACCTGTGTACAAAGGACAGTGTCAGGACACAGCCCTTCCCCTGGCAGCAGAAACATGCAGAGAACTGTACGTGTCCACAGGACATCCACTCTCTTTAAGAGGTTCCTGAGTAGAGAATATGGTGCAATAAACTCTCTGAAATGCTGTTTGCTAGAAGGTGAACCAGACAGAGCTTCATAAGGACTAGGACATCAATACATTTTATCTGTCTGGATTACAGGCCCATTAGAGAGTCACAATTTCAGATGCTACACAGCTGTAATTTTACACAGCTTATATTTGGCTACTTCAAGTACTCATGTACTCACTCTTCAAGTAATCTGCCCTCATTTTCTAATAGAAATATAAAACTACACTGAAATAAAGAGCAGGAGGAAGTCAAGTGTATGAAAGCATTCTGGAAAGGGTGAAATTCACATACACCTCAACCCAAAGGCCAAGCTGAAAGGTTTTTGTGAAGACTTGCATTGCAAACAATCTCCTGGGCATAGCAATACTCAGACTGTGTATATAAACCATATTTATACAGGTTGGTCCTGCCTTTGCAGAGCACATTCATACTTCAGAAGCAGAGCAGAACATATATTTTTCTGTCAAGTACACTGTTGCAAGAGAACTCCCAAGAGCACTTTTTCTTACCTTCTAATATCACATCGTTGTTTGCATCCCCCTTTTCTCCCTTGGCTCCTCTTGCACCTTTTCCTCCTGGCATACCATCCTTGCCAGGCAAACCCATTTCTCCTGGTTCTCCTTTCTGTCCTTGATCACCTTTTGGTCCTGGCAAACCTAGAAATAAAAACCATTTCAGTATCAAGAGCACTGCTCCAGTATTAAGCACCCATTAATACATATTTTTACTACAAACCATATTCACTCTAGTTATATTTTTTACCTGAATTTAGCTGGATAGCTGTAACTTCTTTGGATTTAAAAGATGCATTGCAACCTAATATGGAGGGAAACTGTACCTATTTTTCCTCTTTTTCCATTTATTCCTGGTTCTCCCTTTTGTCCTGGAGTTCCTGGAATTCCATCTGATCCATTGTAGCCAGGCAGTCCATCAAGCCCAGGAGGCCCTGATCAAACCAAACAGCACAACTAAATTTGCACTCTTGAATGCAAGTTACCCTGAAATCTACTGTATTTACATGCAGCATGTTTAGATATATATATTTAAACCCCAGCAAAACATAACTCATACTTTTCTGATACAGAGAATTACTCCAAGCAGACCCACAGGTTAAGCAGTGCAGAAAGAAAACAAGTAACCATAACACAGCCTTGCAACCACCTGAGTGAGAACTGATTAAATTAAACAAGAGAGGAAGAAAAGTCATGGGGGAGGTGGGAGGGTGTAATCAGTAACTAGTGTTTTGTAAAAAGATAGTTTTACTGTTAAATTCTAATATCCATTTCCTTGGAGGTTAATATCTTAAACATCATAATTTGGTTTTGATCAAATGTTCTACTGCCTCCACTAGAAAATTAAAATGTATGAAACCTCCCCTCTCTCAGGAGGGCCATGACTTAAATACAAGCATTAGAAAGGCAGGCAGTCATTCAACCCTCCCTTAATCTAATTAGCAAAGGAAGACAATTTTGTGAAAGATACCTTTCTGTATTTCAGTATTTTGTACCAGTAACTGTTTTGATTACCCCCAAATGTTACTGCAATTGTCCAAGTGTCTTACCTGGGGGTCCTGGGGGGCCTAGAGCAAGAGAGGAAAAAAAAACCAAAAAAAACCAAGAAAGAAGAAATTGTTAATTTAACCTAGCAAGAAAACAAAGTACTTCCAAACTGAACTGATCAGCACTAGATCAGAACAGTAAAAGAAAATTCTTCAAATTTCAAAATTAATATCTATCTAACTGCTTTGTATTATAAATAACTAGCTGAGCATTAGGAGTAACTGAGACTTACCAGAAGAGTAACACATTTACGTATACAGGTTTTGCTTTTTTCAAATTGCAATTGATAAAGGTTTGGCAACAACCTCTGCAATGCAGCCTCACTGTCACAGGCCTTGGTGCCTTCACAAAGCCATGGATGCAAGACACAGTCAAATTTCCTTTATGTAAGTGTTCTCCAAAAACCTGTTCTAGTGGAAGAATATTGGCTTTAGAGTACTGATGAATATCACAATTAAAAATCCTGTTGGAAATACAGATTAAAAATACATGCCACGTTTCTCTGTGCTTTTCATTGCATTGATATTTCATTGCAGTTCAGGACTCAGACTATTTAAATATGACAAAAAAAAGTCTTGTCATTCCTATCAACAGTCAGGCTTTTCACATGTGTAGCTCTCCAGTCTGGATCAAGCTTCCTACAGAAACTGGTTGGTACATTTAGAAATTGGACTTGCTTCAGTCATTCAGCAACTTGTAATACAGAAAAATCTGTCTCTCACATAGCTCAGATGTAGGGCCCTAAAGAGAAGCAAGCATAGCAGGCAAGAACAAAGAAAGATTAACCAGGACATGTTTGTGATTTATCATCTGTGATCCCCAAAACACATTAAATTTTTTTTTAAATGGAGAACTACTTGGAGAATACAAAGGTGACAGCTGCAATTAAAGAACCAAATTAACTCTATGAACATTTTTATCCAGCCAAAGTACTGTCTTATTTCAACCAAACTTTTTACAACAGAAAATAACAGTAATTACTAGATTTCCCTAAAGATGACAATTTTCAGCATTAATTACAAAGCATTATGAGTAAAGTGAAAACCATTTTACAATACCATAATAGGAATCATCTCTTTTAATCAGTACAGGCAGTAATATCAGCTAACATCTTTCTGCCAGTTTCTCAGTAAATGCCATTTCTTCCACACTATGTTACATCCATTATTACATTGAATTACTCCCTCATCCCTAAAGCTGAGGCTCCTTGTACAAGCGTAAGCTACATAAGAAAGGTGCTTGAAAAGCAATAAATGTCATTGAGGTCTACAGCAGAGAAAACCACTCCTTTAATGGTGCTAAGAGAGAAAAAGGTGCAAAAGGCACCAAATAACATGAGTTCACAAGTCTGAAGCTCAAAAAACCAAAACTTAGATTGTCTGTGGTTCAGCCACTGTTGCAATCAGAACTGATGTACAACTTAAGAAATATTTAACATCTGCATGTAGAATGGTAATTCTCATTTATGTTTAATCAGTTGAGTCAAATGGACCTCATTGCCATTTGCAAATTCAAACCAGACAGCAAGTGAAGCATTTTCTTTAATTCATAAAAACCAGCTTTTTTCTAATCTTCTCATTTCCAAAAAGAACATAACTCATTCTGTGGCAGACCTCAAAGCTGGACCATAGCTCTTAAATTCACTGCTACCAGACACTCTTCACCAAAGCCCACAAAACTTTTCACACCTTCTCATGACTCAGCCATCAGCAGCTCCAGGTCCTCACTGGTGATGTGTGAGACATCCTGCAGCTGAGGAACACGAGTTCACTAAGTGCCACTGCCCCACTGCAGCCGTAACAATGGCAGCAAGTTTCTACCCCCTGCATGTTCCTCCTGTGTTAGGCCTGAAGTGTGACATACACAAAAATATTATGACTAAACCTCAACTGGCATTTTAAACACACAAGTCTAAAAGATTTGCTTATGAAAACTACATGAAAGAGAAGTGGCCCCAAGTAGCATCAACTGAGCTCCTTAAATTCCAGCATTTCTATTAAGAGGGTACAGATGTACCCTTTGTTCCCAAATATTTTTTTAAATTCTGCTAAATAGCAGGATTTTGACAGAGTTATTGACATCAGGTTCTTTGAAAACACTGATTTTGTGTTCCTGGAGGTAACATAAGTGTAATGCTCAAGGCAACAAACATACCTGTTAAGCATATTCCTTTTGTGCTGTTACACAAATCCACCATCACTCGGACCTAATATTGCAAAGAAATTAAAGTTGAGAACAATGTATTTCATAAAAGTATCTGTTCACTTGACCTACAGAAATAATTCCTAAACCAAAGATACAACTGGGTCCTCTGTGCTTATTAGAACAAGCTATTCAGAATGCTTTAACACTGTGACACCATCCAACTCTTTGGGCAGTGTTTCTCTCATAGAACTCTGCTCAATAAATCTCAGTTTAATCCTTACTGAAAACATGAACAAAATATTGGGCAGACAACTCCATATATCACTTAGCCATTAAATTTCATACAGTGCTGGAACACATGTGGTTGTCCATGCATGGACTCTATCAGTAGAAGGTATTAAAATCCAATATCAGGCAATAAAAAACATATTCAATTTTATTTTATATTTGTATTAAGTGATGGAAATTTTTCTAATGTAGCATATCCAAGGAGAAAGATGACCTGTGTTCCAAGTAAGCAATTTCTTATCTTTGAATAACCAAGATGTGCAAATGTGAAATGGACCTTCATCCACTCAAAATAATTCAAGCAAAAAGACAAAACTATTAAACCAAGCTGGAAGACACATTCATAAAGATGCTTTTAATCTAGAGTAGACTAAAATTTACCAATAGAGGAGTCATCTTTACAAAATACACAGTCCTTGGCTGGGCAAACATTCACATTACATGTCCTGCATAAGGAGAGTCAACACTAAAACATTTTGCAACTCATCAAAACAAGCAGCATAAATAAAAATATTATGACCATGAGCTCTGGAAGTTCCTCAACTCTCTATGGGAAAGTTTAATGTTTATAGCCAGAAAATAAGGGTCACTATTTCAGGGCTGTGCAATGTGTGATAATTTATGAACCATTTACCCAGAGCTGCACATTTATTGATCTTTGCACAATTACTCTATTTACAATTAATGGAATTTTCTAGTCCCAAAAGACAGAAGGAACAAGTGCAAGGCAATCTGAAAGGCAGATTGAAGTTTAATCCTAGCAAGGTTATTTGCCACTGTCAGTCATTATTTTTAAAATTAATGCATCATTGGTTTCAATTGCCAAATCTAACAGACTCAAATAGAGGCCAATTAGTTTGATGGAAAATATCCTTTTGCTGCAAAACCAGACTGTATTTGACAATGAGTTCCTGTCCTGTCTGATACATACAGAGAATGATTCCAGACTGTACTGGAACGGTACATGTAAAATTTTAGACTCAATTTAAATTAGCTGAGAAGTGCTAACTGCTTTTGAATATCAGAATAGGCTTGTTTTCTTTCCCCTCACACTACTCAAAAACACTTGGCTCCTACCCTGTCATTTGTAAAATACACATTATTTATGTACACTCCAAATCTAGCTGCATTTTAATTTAAATAGCTCTGTTGAGGTTGTTGAAGTGGTTACAGCTTGCTTTGGGGCCCTCCAATTATCTCAGCAGCAGTACTTTATCAGTCAGTGCAGCTCAGGTGACAATTAAAAAACATGGCCCTCAAGAAGTGCAAATAGCCTGTGATGGAACCTCCAGCCTAGCTACGAAAGATGAGCAGACAGTTCACAGCCAGCATCATCACTAAGAAAAGCCACAGATAAAAATATCTTATCTAAATGCTAAAATCTTAGTTTTCTCATGAAGAAATGGTGTAAAAATAAAAAAAAAAATAAAAAAAGAGAAAACCTAAACTATTAATTATTACTCAGAAAATTGGTAACCATCATCTCTTGCACTGTCTGAACTCACGCCTTGAATCTTACTGGCCTGTGACCCTCCCATCAGCCTTTCTGCAGCAGCAGATTTGCCAATTTCCTATTTTTACTGTCTTACAAAATAAATATACATATACTTAAATAAGAGGCCCTGAACAAAAAATAGGTTATTAAAGCTAACATGATTTTTGATGCCTGTGGTTATTTCAAAGATTCATGAACAGTGGGCACAATAGATGTGTCCGGAGCAGGGGATGAGCAGAGCAGCGGGACACTGATCCCTGAGGGGCCCTGCAGAAATGCCTCCCCTGCCAGAGAGAACCTGCTCAGGCCAAGTGCACATTTAGAGGTACAAGTGCACAGTCTGGCCACATGCTGTTCAAATACACACAACATGCTCAGTGCTATTTGGAGAGGACAATAAAATTCATGCAATCCATACGGTTCCTACTGACAGCAGAGTAGCACACTTAAAGGCCACTGTCAAAATTATCCAGACATGCACCTACAGCTAATGATCCCAGTCTGAGCACCTAGCAGTGAATGGCACTGACTGCCTTCAAGCCCTGTCAGGATCAGAATCCTTTCCCCAATAATTTTATTTGTGGATCTTTTGGACTCAAAGAAGCAATTCATATCAGATAGAGCAAAACAAACTGCAGCTGCCAAATTCAGGGATGACTTCCTAAAAGAAGTTATTTAAAAGACAGTTTTGAGTACAAAACCATGGGATTTTACAGATTTTTACTTTTTGCAGAAGTCTGCAAATTCTAAACTCAAAGCACAACAACTTAAAGAGCCTAACTAAAAAAAATTTTTCTAAACCCCAAGTAATGTCATTATCAAGATTCCATGCTTTCAACACCTGTGTTTAACACTCATTAGTCCTAATATTAATGGAGATATTATCACTGTAAAATGAGGACTGTAATAGTTTATTAACAAAAGTGCCATCAGAACACGACTGAAGAGGTATTTTCTGTAAATAGTTTTTTAAACCAGCAATATTAATACATGAGTTACACTTTTGTGCACCTAGACCTGCAATCCTTGCTGGGACAGTTTCCACTAAGGTTCCCTCAATAGTAATATTTTTCTTGCACTTCTTCTAGCTCAAAACTCAAAAGCTTTCCAATCCAAAAAATTCCAAAAAATTTTTCAACTATACAACCTGTGTAATTTTTCAACTACATGACATTAGTTCCTACTGAGCAAGATCATCTTTTCACTGAAGTGCAAAAAACTGTGCTGTTCTGCCAAAGAAAGGACATACAGTTCTCCTGATCCATCAAATACCACCTCAAATGTAACACTTACTGGAAGAGCATTATCAGTTTCAGAGAGATGTCAGGTGATGCCCAGTGCTTCATGCTGAGATGCTGAACAGCACAAGACACACGGGTGTTCTGTTAGTGGTGTTAGTTTGAAAAACCGCAAACGCTGGACACGGGAAGGCTTCTTATTGCGACGAAATTTTGGCGTTTCACTGAACCCCCAACTTCCCTCCCTTCGTGTAACTCTCGTTTGTGAAGCGGGACGGTACCCAGCGCGCACGGAGCGGGCAGAGATCGCTGCTCGCGTTCTCTCGGGGCGAAGCCGCGGCGGCAGCAGCGAACGCGGCTCGGCCGGGCCCAGCCCCGGCTCTCCCGACCCCCCGGCCCGAGCGCAGGGCCCGGGCGGGCCCGTACCGGCACCATGGAGTAGGTCAGCACCATCAGCATCTCGTCGCTGTCGGCGCGCACGTGGCCGCGGGCGCGCTCCCCGCGGCGGCTGCGCTTGGTGCGGGCGGCGGGCGCGGGCAGCGGGCCCCGCACGGAGCCGTTCCCCGGCGGCTCCAGCTCCCGCAGCGCCGCGCCCAGCTCCCGCCACTGGCACAGCAGGAACAGCGTGCCCGCGGCGCTGAGCGCCGACAGCAGCCCCACGGCGGCCAGCAGCGCCCGCCCGCCCGCAGCCTCCATCGCCCCGCCGCGCTCCGCCGCCCGCCATTTATCGGCCGGGACACGGCCGGGGGCAGGGCAGGGCAGGGCAGGGCAGGGCGCGCACCCCGGCTGGGCCAGCTCATCTCGGCCACTTCCAGAGGGGCAGGAGCCTGGCACGGCCCGTGATCAGGCGTGCTTTCAAACCAGTGACATTGTACGTGGCTTTTTCCGGGCGTCAGCCTGCATAACAAAAACCCCTCCGTTAGACAGATCCTGCCATCGCACAGATCCGTGGCGCGGGTCCTGCGGTCACACCATCACATCGCTCTCTTACAAATACCGTGTGTCATTCACTTATTAAAACTGACCTGTCGCTTTAGACTTTCGAGTACAGACCTTCCCCAAATTACTACTGCTAAACCTTCTGCGACATAGCATAGGTTTAATATAACAAATTTTGTTATTGGTTAATTTATAGCCAATTTAAGAAAATTAATTACAGTATATAGCAGAACCTGACCGAATACCAAGTCTTCATGAAGAATGTGGAAGCTCTTGAACTCAAAATACTTTCCAAAAATGTTATTTTTAAAGCTGGCATTTCAAATCAAAGCCATGCACTCTCTTACACTGATACCACTTCAAATCAACCTCAAGAAATTCCCAGATTTTGAATGCCAAGTTTGCTACAAGACAGGGCTTTGATTTTTTGTCAAAGTGACAATTCTCTGCTGAAACTGATCATGTACATTTTCTCTCCATTCTAAGTACTCCATTGACTTGTAATTCATGCTAATCCCACAGTACATTGACTGATGGACTGTTAGGTCAACCCAAATCTGAATTTAATACACTCACTTCTGCTACAGCTGCCTAAGCACAGTAAAGAAACAGAGACAGGAAAACAACTTCATCATATTAAATTTCTCATCTCTCCAAAATAAACAATTACTGCAAAAAGTGCTGGTGTCCTCAGGCATTGCATCGGAGACTCTTTCCTTATGAACCTGCCACGACAGGTACAGGTAGAACAAGATGAAAGAAGAGGGAACAATCATTCCATCTCATCCCATGACAGCAGATGAGACAGAAGAAAATCACCGTACACCCAAAGGCATAAGGCTTATCAGCACAGAAACAAAGAATAGTTTGGGTAGAAAAGCACCTATAAAAGTGACCTAACCCAACCCCTCTGCAGTGAGCAGGCACTTTCAAACAGACCAGGTTGCTGAGAGCCCCATCCAACCTGGCCTTGAATGTGACCAAGGATGGAGCACCTATCACCTCTCTTGACAATCTGTTGTCAGTGTTTCACCACACTGACTGTAAAATATTTCTCCCTTATATCCAGTCAAAACCTACTCTAAGATATTCTAAGGAATAATTGCATAAACCAAATATGCAAAAACTTGCTGAGAAATCATTTGAGGCTTTGGACCTTGGCAAACTTTTCTGGAGGTATCGCAAAGTCCTCCATATATGTGAATAACCTTTCTGATGTCAGTGAGGGTTACAAGAATAATTGCCTGCCCTGATATATCCACACAGGGCAGGACGTTCCTGGGTGTGGAAGATCCCTTGGCCAGTTGGGGTCCGCTGTCCTGGCTGTGCTCCCTCTCAGCTCCTTGTGCACCTGCTCACTGCCAGAGCACGAGAATCTGCAAGTCCCTGAGTGCAGGTGAGCGCTGCTCAGCACCAGCCAAGGTGTCACTGTGCTGTCAGCATTATTCTCATAACTCCAAAATGCAGCACTGCACCAGCTGCTAGGAAAATAAATAACTTTATGCCAGCCAAAAACAGGAGACTCTGCAGCTGATGTCCCAGTTTAGCATAGAAGTGGATATTTGAGTTTTGCTTACAGTATTACTCTTGTAAAGGAGAAAGAAGAGAAAGAAATAAGACCTTCCATAGAAATTCCCAGAAAACAGGATATCTTAAGCAGGCTTAGTTTATAATTCATAGACATAAAAAAATGAGTAAGAATCTATCACACCAGCAAAATAAAACTTTCTGTCCAAGAACAAATAGAACTGCACCCCAGAGACCATACAGCAAAACAAACAGCAATTCTTCATTTTTATTGTCCATTTCAAAGTGTAATGATTGAGTAAAAAAAGAGTACAATAATTATGAGCTACAATTTGGAGAATAACAAAAGCAATACAGCACTCTTAGCACTCTTGCTTTCCCATCTGCCTAATCTTGTAAGGTTTTCTCTGCATTACAATTAAAAAGCAACTGAACATTGTTCATTAAAAAAATGGGCCATTTGATCACTACAGACATCCTATCTGAGTCTGCAGTCCAGAATCTGCTGGAATGGCAGTGGCAGAGCTCTTTCCCAGGCCCCAGCCTATACCAGAGGTTTATGGCAGGGTGTGAAGACCTGCACTTGGTTTGCTAGGACACACAGTCACACCTCTGGTGAGAAATTGCCCTACTTTTGAAAGCTAGGAATCAGTTAACTGCACAATTTTGTAGCAAAGGGGTTCCCACTGAAAGTCCTTTTAGCTGCTCCAGTGGCAGGAGGAGCTGAGTGACTGGGCTGGGGACATTCCTGTCCCTGCTTTCTTCTGAGTGTTCCCCCATCCCACATGAACAGCAGTTCATTCAAATGTCTCCATGTTATCCTCTGCTACTGCCTGATAATCTATGACTCCTGGATTTCCTGTCACTGTGTCACACAGCTGAGATCTTGGTTTATCCATACAGCACTTGTTACCAGCTCAATGCCCTTCGTGCTCAATGCCCTTCATGCTCAATGCCTGTGCTCCTTCTCTGTTATAAAAACCAATGGTGATCAGCAAAGCAGAATGGAGGCTTGGGAACGCTGTTGGTAAATTCCAGAAATCTTACCACTATTTTCTTACCAAAAACCAGAAAAACTTGCTCAGTAGCAATTTAAACCCATATGAGGAAAGTGTTATCCCCTAGATCCATCATTTTCTCAGTTAGGTATAATGCCAGCAGGCAGCACTTCAATTATTTCCTGGCATTTCAGAGTCTGTGTCTCTAAAGCACGACTGTGCACTATAACTGACAGGGCATATAAAGGTCATGTAAATCTGTCCAAGTAATACTGGAACCAGAAAGAAGCTCTCAATATGCAAACTGCAGAGGCAACACCATGTTTGTGCTTTTTAGAATTCCAGCTTTGCAGAGCTGAAACAAATTTTCAGGAATTAAAACATAGCTTTACCACAAGAGATATTTTTATATCCAAATTTCTCACTATGTGTATAATAAAAAAATGTTCCTTGATTATTCTCAAGCTGACAATGTATTCAGATGGTGTCACACTTAACTAATGCTCCCACTGCTGTTTTTCTTTGTAGAAGTTATTATTACTAAAATCTCATCTATTTTGGCAGCTGTCCCAGTGATAAAGCACACTGGAGATTGGAACATTATTTTCACTTGGGTAGATAATTCTGGAAGAAGGACCAAGTTGCTGAGGACAATGTTCTTATGAGACAGTTAACCAAACTGCCTCTGATCATGCCATGGAAAGATTACACAGAGTGTAGCCTTTATGAATGCTATCAGAAAGAAGGTAATCTCTTTTCCTGAACTAGTTAAAGCAAAAAAAAGGTCTTTTAAAGCTTTCCAAACCTGCCATGAGAAGTGACAGATTTTATTGGATCTCCCTCCTTCTCAGGAAATATACCAGAGGTTTGATATATTCATTTTACAGTTCCCAAGCTACTATACATTCCCAACCTACAAAGTAGAAGGGGAAGATCATTCTTTAGACTGTCAAAATGATGAACAGTTAAAGCTTTTCAGTAAATTTCTTGTGCTTTCCATTGCCACAGCTGACACTGCTGCAGCTGTATGTTCAGCATGGATGTACGCAGGAAGGAAGCCCCAGTCAGAGCTGTAAATGCCCTTCCTCCTCACCCCTGCTCCCATTGCTCAAATCATGAGCAGCTGCAGAGCTGCTCCATCCAAGCCACAGTTGCACTTTAATATTGGCACTGAAACCAACTTTGTTTCTACAGCAAAAAATTAGCTTTGAAATATTTAAACACTACATGCAAAAAGAGGCTTGATTTTGAAATTCATATTAGGTCCTGGCATATTCATGTTCAGAAAAACTGGAACACGTAGGCTTGAAATGTCTTTGCAGCAGTTGTAGGTCAGCCACAATAGCAGATTTAGTTATTCAGACCACACTAAGTTGTGTGTTCAACCTCACCCCACAGAATTAATTCAGCCTTCTATGAGAGACACACACCAGAATGCCTCCTACTCCATTTCTGCACATACATTCCACACAGATTATGGCATATTGGATACAGACTTGCTTTTCAAGGGAAAAAAAATAATTGGAAGAAGATGAAAATAAAAATACAATGCTATAATTCTTATGATTTTGTACCAGAGGAGGTGTGGGAAAGATGGATTAATACCCCAACCCCTTAAAGCTTGTACTGTGCTTTTCAGTGGCACCAATATATAATGCTCCTCAAGGAATCAGCCACAAATACCTGTAAAATTACTTTTGATTTCAGGAAATTCCTATTTATTACAGAGCTGCAAGAATAAGCAAACTTATGCAGAGGAAAGGATATGCCAGCTGTTAATTTAGAATATCCAACCTTATTATAAATCATAAATTAGGAGCCAGTGAAAAAGCGTTTCTTACTAGGTAGGCCAAGTTGGTGTGTGAAGTTCAAAATAAAACCCATAAATATCTGCAGGTGCTGCAGCACAAAGAGTACTATTCTATGGCATCAGCAGAATGTCTCATTGTCTTTGAATGAACATTCAATGAATTGGAGGAAGATGCCTTAGAGATGCATCATCAGGGCACTGGCAGCTAGACTTTTTCCCAGAAAACTGCTC